AGAGAAAGGCGATTGGGGATTTAAAGGGTTGAAACAAGCCATAAAGATGGAATTCAATCTTGCTCTATATGATAAGGTATGGTTTTTGTCCGTTCCGGATGATCATATCTAACAATTCATCAGGCTGTTGAACATTATCTTGAACTTCTTACCTATGTCAAATCCGCAGTAACGCGAAACTACTCGGAAAAATCTATCAACAATATCCTCGACTTTATCGAGAAAAAGACTGAAGACGATGCAGCGAGGAAATGCATGGAGAAATTTTATTCAAATACCCTACAATCTTTTCAAAGTACCAACAACGAAAGATTGTGGTTGAAAACTAGTATCAAGCTGGCGAAACTCTGCCTCGACCGCAAGGACTACGCTGCGACAACAAAGAAATTACGAGAGCTTCGCAAGGCATGTGAATTGGAAGATGGTACAGATGATCCAAGCAAGGGCACCTACTCTTTGGAGATCTACGCACTCGAGATTCAAATGCATTCCGAAACGAAGAATAACAAGCAATTGAAGCGTTCATATGAAAGAGCTTTGAAGGTCAAATCAGCAGTACCACATCCTAGGATTATGGGTATCATTCGAGAATGTGGTGGGAAGATGCATATGACTGAGGAAAACTGGAAGGATGCACAGAGTGATTTCTTTCAGTCATTCAAAGATTACGATGAAGCCGGATCTTTACAGCGAATCCAGGTTCTCAAGTATCTTGTTTTGACAACCATGTTGATGAAATCCGATATCAATCCATTCGAATCCCAGGAAACCAAACCATATAAAAATGATCCTCGCATCGCCGCAATGACCGATCTCGTTGATGCCTATCAAAGAGATGATATTCACAGATATGAAGACGTTTTAAAGAACAACAAAGATCTAATGTCCGATTCCTTCATCCGCGAAAACATTGACGAGGTAACTCGAAATATGAGAACCAAAGCCGTGGTAAAATTAATCGCCCCCTACACCCGATTCAAGCTTGATTTCATTGGCAAAGCTCTCAAGATTCCTGTCTTGGAGGTCCAAGATATTTTAGGCTTTTTGATCGTCGATAAGAAAGTCAATGGAAAGATCAATCAACAAGATGGAACTGTTGAAATTGAGGATACTAGTGATGCAGAACGTCTCAAGGCAATGCATGAATGGACTACAGCTATAGGTTCATTATATGAAACCATTTTCGCAGAGAGTGAGGGCTTTAGGATGAACGATGTCAATCAAATTGGGGATATGGACAAGGATGCAGGTTCTATGGGCGGATATATGAGTCCAGCTAACACGAGTAACGTGAGATTTGGTGGACAAAAGGGAGGTAGATTCCCGATGGGTGGAAGGGGTAAAAAGGGATGGTTGGGATGATTTGATTGATCAACATGGTGAAGATTAGGTACGATATTGATACCATGAGATCACATGGAGTGTATGGGAGTCGGGAGTTGATGAAGAAGCTTAAGGGAGATCACGGTAATGATGAAAGATGACTTATGATCAATGGATAGGTATCCCCCCTTAGCTACCTACCTACCTACCATAAATACATATATTAATGAACAGAGACATACAAATTTCATTTTCTTTGTCCATGCTTGAATCTATTACGTGTGTTACGATTATGTGTCTTCTGTCTATCATCTATGTGGTATTAGTTTTTATCATCAAGATGATTCTCTCCAAACCCACTGAAAAGTTTCAATGTGTGTATGTATGTATTGCAAGGTAAGGGTGAGAAAGTAGTAGAACTTGGTAGCTTGGTAGTGTTGTAGAAGGATGAAATGGAAGGACATAGGGGGTTAGTGGTCAGTATATGTTATGTATCATGTCATGTATGGTAATATACACAATGTAGAGATGTGGATACACAATTATGGTTTAATGTAAAACGATGAGACTTCATTTAGATGAATTGTGAATTACGAACTACGAACTACGAACGAACTACAAGATTCGAAATGGGACAGAGGGGAGGGGTGATAGCTTGGGAAAATTGTTGTTATGTGGATTATGGATTCGGTTGGATGTAAATTGTGGGAATGAGGCGGTGCTGAGGGGGTTCTTTGACGGTTTGGTATTTGTCGTTTGGCGTTTGGTGTGGGGGAAGGGGGAGGAGGGAGGTATGTTTGTGTGGATATCTGTCTGTTTGTTTATGTGATATACTATATAAATCCTCACATACCTGGTTGAACATATATACATATACATACACACGCATATGAAACTCTCACACTACAGTACCATTAATGCAATATTCGGATTCAGAGAAGAAGGGATAAAGGTTTACAGAAAAAGTCTTTGGGGGTATGCAGATGAAGGTAATGAATGTATGTGGGATTAATGGAGTGCTGGAGGTGGTGTTGGGGAAGGGGAGAGAAATCCTTGCTTTATGGAGGGTTTGTAGTTTGAGATTTTGGGGTTTGGATTTTGTTTTGGAGACTGGGTTCTGGGTGGAGAGGAAGAGGATGAAGAGGGAGGATGAGAGGAAGGGGATGGTGATTATTTGATTGATGGTATGTGTGTATGTATGGATTGTATCCTATGTTTTGGGTATGTGTGCTATGTATGATGTGTATGTTGTGCGAATCCGGATCGAAGGTATGTATGTGAAGATGTGTATGTATGTATATGTACGTAAGTATGTATATATGCGGGGAGAAAGAGAGGTGCATTTTGCGGCTAGCTGAAGAATCGAGATGGACACACCGATTAGCGAGGGCTGGGAGAAATGAGTTATGAGTTTCATGGTTAAAGGAGTGTGTTTATTTGTTTGTGTTACTTGTTAGTAGATGATTGGGAGTTTTCGATATGTTTGATTGATAGATGGATTAACTGATTGGTATGTTGTGTTGATCTTGGGATATCTGGTGTGGAACGGATAGATGGTGTTGATGAACATGGTGTGAAGAAAGTTGGTACGGTTACAATGGGCTGGAAACGATGAGCTTGGGGGGGCTTGAGATCCTTGGATGGAAGGGTCAGGGATGATATGTGATGTGATGTGATGTGATTGTATGCCGTGGATGCGTTGAAAATCGGATAGTATTGGATTCCTGGTCGAGAGATCGAGGGATTTGAGATGGATGGGAGGTAGAAGAGGAGGTAGGAGAGGAGAATATGAGGAGAGAACAGGAAGTGAGGGGGTTGGTTTACTCTACCTAGTGAAGCTTGATGTATCAGTAAGGTTTCAAGATCCAGGATAAGAGAAGTACAGCAGAAAACACGAACGGCTGAACACGAGAATGAGGAAATGTGGTGAAAATTAAGATCTGACTCTGACTGTTTGTTGATCAACAGATATGTGTGTGAGATCAGCATCTGATTAACTTTTATTCACAACATGTAGGATATACATAAAGATGTGTGATAGAGAGTGAATCCAAAATTAGAAGTAGAGGATACGAAATTCACACTTTGAGGTACTTTTTTAGTTACTCCTCGCCATGCTGGCTAGGTTTGGAATATACTTAAACCCATCTGTATAAAATATGTGATACGGTATGCATGGAAAGTAATCAATCTCGTACTCTATAACCTAATCTCGATCTTCATCAGATTAAACATGCGGGAGATTCACCCCTAGTCAGTAGTATACATAATGAGAACCTATCAGAGACACCGGAGTTTAGAAGGGTGGAAGACCAATAGTTGATAGGGCTTTCATGTGGTGTATCTTTTGGGAGGAATAAGTAGGAACAGTGTATTCATGTAGCATCGGGCCAACTCGGTTCTTTCTAGGTGTGAACTTGGCGGGGTAATGCCGGAGGGGTTGCTACCTACCGTTCCTCACACATTCATGATATTGATTAGCTTTTGTGAAATATGATAGATGTCATATGGGTAGCATGGAACTTTGTGTCATGCATGATGATGATAGGTACTTTGACTCTTGGTACGGGTGTCAGGATGCGGGTAGGTCTTATTTCCCGGGATGCGTGCGATAGCATTTGAGATATGATAGATGTGTTGATGTAAGATGAGAGGAGAGATCAACATTAATGGTAGAATCGGCTTGAGATTCAGGTGTGTAGCATGGGGGAGCGTGGGTTGAGAGGTTCGGTGGTTAGGTAGTTAGGTCTTTAGTACGTTAAAATCAAATTAGTGTGATTATCGGTACTTGATGAAGGGGTATGTAAGATTGAAGAATTTAATAACTGTAATTTCGAGAGATGAGCAATGATCTAATTGGTACTTTCGTAGATGAATCTTACCTATTAGTTCCGTCTTTTATCTTTTATAAAGATAATACTACTTGATAATTTAAATACCTAGGTACCTACTCATGCTCAGGTACAATAACCGAATACGTGTATACATCCAGCTAATCGTATGTATTCAAATGCAAGTCTAATAGATATTATTTATAAGTAAAGTTCAATTGGTGGATCTTGAATAGAATCCCTACATCGTAGTCGATGATTAAAAAAGTCTAATTCTTCATTCTGCAGTAGTCTGTAGACCAAAGGTTATGCGTATAGAAAGAATGCTAGGGGACACTCTGTAGCTTCCCCGAACCCATGATCCCAGTTTCACTTGCTAAATAGCTTTTCTCGTCTATCAATGTCACTATACTTTATTTACACTCCTGCTTTCTACTCTGACCCTATTCTTGGCAACCAACCATCCATATGAATTGTTCCTTATCCTGGAAAAATTCTTCCTGCCCTATCGTTTTGCTCATCATCACGAAATGCAATGTTCAATACTCATACATGATGTTTATGCACCTAATTTATAACCTAGTCACGATACCGAACAAACAAACGGATAGACGGAGTGGTGCGCGATATTTCAATTTCAGGATTGCATGGAATTGGTTCAGATTCAATAAAGAGTAATGGTAGAAGGCGACCTGCATGATAAGGGTATATATGCACGCAAGCAAGCCATGTTGAAACTCGGGAAGTTGAGTTACCGTTAGGATCAGAACGATTGAGTGATGGTAAGTAGAAGGAGGAAGAAAAACCTTTCTCCACGGAATATCTTGTAGCGATTGTGCTGTGACAATGAAGCATGTGAGGAAGGGTAGACAAAGCCGAATGGATGGCTTCATTTTCACCCCATTGCAACGTCAATATATCTTCGGTGCAATGTCCGGAGGTATGTATATGTATGTATTAACGGGCATTATTTCAATAGGTGAATAATGTACAATCGATGTCATGACATGGTGAACATGATCTCCCCCCCCCCCCCCCCATGTCACTCATTGTACAATACAGATACGTAACAAGGGCGATTCTCTTTCTTACAGGCATGCCTTGTGGTTTTCAAACTATCGAGTACCTAATACGGAGGTACATGGGCATAATATGGCATGGTACTGTCGGGGAATGAGAGAGGGTTCCGTTTCCTCGGGAAAATTTGGAAAGGACGAGACAAGAGAGATGAGTAGACGAATAATACATCGTTACATGTGAGCGGCAGTACGGCCCGCATGGATGTAAACAATCAGTGCGTTCATTTTCACCCAATCGCATCGTGGATAATTCCATATCGATATCTGGCTGGGTTGTCTCAAAGTTGAAACTCTAGAACCCTTAATTCAAGATTTTCGTATTCTTATGTTGGCTGTTATGTTTTGCCTAGCAATTGTTGGTTAATGTTGTTGCTCGTGTTAGATGGTTGTTGGATGCGTCGTGCTCTGATAGTTGTTGGTTTCCTTGCCACGCCTACTTACTTTAAACTACCCCCGACGGAGTACGGAGATTTCTAAATGAAGAGACTTCATTGGTGAATTTCTAAATAGTAGTAACTGTCCAAGACTGTCATATTAAACATCTATCTTGCTATGACCATACATAAGGTCTCGATCCAGACAACGAATGATCGAGAGCTCTTCATTTATCTTCGCACGGGTGTGTGATGTGATACCAAAACCATCACTACATTCCCGTGTGTGAAACTCAACCTTTCCCCTCATTGTGGAAAGGGAACGTAACTACCCGTGTTTTCTCCCTTTTCGGCTTCCACAAGGAACTCCTTTACTTGAAATTTTCCCTCCCCCTTCTCTCTTCTCCACATTTCCTATACGGGATCTTTCATTCTCTCAATCCTCTTCCTTCTCCGTTGATTCTCCTTCCGTAAAGTTAAGTGAGCTACGGTGGATGATTTTCGTAAGTTACCAACCAACAATTCCGATATCGAGATGCCAAGACGGAGAATAGCCAATTAAACAACCAATAACGGAGAAGGGGACCTCATGAGGTCGCATCAAGTGTCAGCAGGCAAGAGTGGTATGATATATCGAACGCCATATAGCTAGATCTAGGTATGAAGGGTCCCATAATGGGGAATTAAACGCTATTAGCGCGCGGGAGGGTGAGCGGGTTAGAGACACAGAACTATGTCTATCGTGGGTGATTGTTTGGTCGGTATGGAAGAAGTAGGTGGAAAGGTGAAGATGGGTGTGATACATGAATATACCTCCGGACCAAGGAAATGAAATGAAACGGTAACAAGTGGAAGCTGGAAGGGGTGGCAACTCATGCAGCCTTCAGCTACAGATACATAACATGAAAATTCCGATGCGCAGGATGTCAAGCTTCATTGTAGAGGAGCCGTGTTCATGGATACATGATGTGAATGAAGTTCATGCAGCCGCGGGGAAAGTAGAGCGTCTGCACAGGCGACCAGGTAATTTGAAACCTTGGATCATCTTTACTGGCTTTTTTATGTCTGAGGCAGTTGATTTGGATGGCAAGAATTGTACATAATGTGTATATTACGTATTACATACCGATACTTCTTCAATGCCAGTGATTTGGGGAGTATTTAGGAGTTGAGGAGTTTGGGAGTCTCCAAATGAAGCATGCACGCACGTACAGTGACGAGCATAAGAATAATCGCATCGATAACAAAGATTCATCGTAACATAACCGTATCATGCACTTGTAATTAGCAGCCGAGTAAGTAAGAAATCTGCCCAGCTGCAGCTCCACGACCGACGGAAGAAGAAGAATTCATCGGGCATTTGCAGAAGAAAAGGTGGGGCAATCAGCATCCGTCACATACATACATTACAGTACGATATCAAATCGAACATTGCCGTACAATATTATACATAGCCATACACACATACATCAGGCTACATCGACGAGATCAAGCCCAAAGTCTAGGTCAATCCTGATGACACCTCATAAAACCGCGATTTCTACCCAGAGAAAATTGAGGAAAGAGAAGGAATCACGGAAGAATCAACTGCTCATTCAATTGTCCATCTCCGTAACATAAATCTCTCGTGTATATGTTGTTTGGTTTGGAAGTATCTTTCTAACCCACCTGCACTCCTTACATTTTTGGCTGAATCTAAAAACGACTTGACGATAGAACGAAGCTATATATTACCCTACATACCGATTGCATATTTTGACTCCTCCATCCCATAATTCGTCGAGCGATCTCAGACCAAGACCAACGGGGAACCGACAGGATACGAAAGGTCCAGGTCGAATAAACGAAGGGTATCTTTTTGAAATTTGAGCAGGGCCCTTGTACTGGATTTGGCTGTGAGGTTACTGGTGTATGCATAACCCAACCCATCATCGAGCGGACGAACGAAGAGAAAGAAGAACGCGGGATTTTAGAAAGGGCCTGGACGCATACATGTGAATGAGTCAAAGAGCGCCGAGAAGAACTAGTTGGAAAGAATTGTCATTCATGGGAGTATTCCGCCGTGATTGATTTGTACTGAGTTACGGAGTAGGGAATCTCGCATAAATCGCAAAAGTAGAGCAGGGAGAGAAAGGGAAGATAACAGATATTGGGAAGGGTTGAGTATAATACTCTGAAGAACGGCTCGCCTCCATTTGAATCGACAATCATAGAATCCAAAGACATATAAAGAATAAAAACGATACATACGATGGACACAGAATCGATCTATGGTCCTCATCTATAACCATCGACAATCCACTTTCACTTGGCCGGATCATCTTGTCACTCTTTACTTCGACTACTACTTACAGATTTGTCTACTACCCTCGCTACATGATACATATCACATACTCCAATACCCCATTTCCGTATCCATTCTCGGTCTCTGAAGCGCCAGGTCGTCGGCCAATCTGGAACTTTACTACAATACCCTGTCCCCATCTTTCTCTCCATCCATACTTGATCCCGTACTCCGTCCATTGACACTATCTCCCATCTTCTCTCCCTCCTCCCCCTGGTTACTGCTTGGTCCTCATTACATCTATTTGGCACCCCTACCTCTACATTTCTATCTCCATTAACTGTATATGTCCATATTACTCGGTGCTTACTTTAACCCATTTGAGTACTTTCTTCATCTCTCGCTCGGTCTTTCAGGTCCGCTATCATACCATCACCTTTTTTATATGCTCATGGTGTGTTGCACCAAATCAAACCACATAAAGTACCAAATTCCCAGGCGACTCCAATAAAGTTTCATCCACGACGCCCCAAAAGCCACTTTCCAAGCATCCAAGACATTTCGATATCGATACACCAGGACGAAGGAAGTACAGCAACGGAGAGGAAGGGAAAGGACGTGAAAGCAAAAGAAAATCTTCATTCATCAGCAAGAGGTAATTCATCACACATCAATCACATCACGGCAACTGGATCCTGTGAATATTGAACCATCAATCAATCAATCAGTCAGTCAGTCAGTCAGTCAATCAGTCAATCAGTCAATCCGTCAATCAACCAACCGACCAACCAACCTAACCTCCCCCCAAAGAGGATCACCAATCTCTATATCATCTCCATTATTATTCCGATATCAATTTCGTCCAAGATTCACTCACTTTTTTGAGAATCGGTACGGTACTATTACCATTCAAAGCTTGGTTGTTGTTACATTCCGCTTCTTGTTCTTATTGTCGATCATTAATTATTACTCTTACTGTCATTACTATCATTACTATCATTACTATCATTACTATCATTACTATCATTACTATCATTACTACCATCCATACCATCTATACCATCTATACCATCTATACCATCACTACCATCACTACCATCACGACCATATCCATGTACCACGACCGATATCACTCTGGACCTTGATCAATTGATGATCTGATTTATCTCAAGGCTTAAACCACTTTTAAGCTTTGCCCAAGCTTCTATTGCACGTCGATTAATTAATCCATTAATCAATCAAATCGTTTATTTGTTATACTTAGTTATTATCCTTATACCCCGTCCATACTTGTCACTTGGTCTTTGGGTTAGAGTTATATATTGGATTCGTTAAAAGCCCCCTCGTTCACCACTTCTTCTTGGCCACATATTAATTGTTTCTGGTGAGAAAGGAGAGAAGGAAAACTACGCACAAACGCCGACGAAGTGGAAAAGAATAATTCATTTTATTGTTAAGAATTTATTCATCTTTTTGTTCTTGAGAACGATCGGCGAGAGGGTAGAGGAAGAGAGAAGAGAAGAAGAGAAGAAGTCGGCGGAGTTCGAAAAGAGTGAGAGTGAGTAGGTGAGAAGTGAAAGAGAGATTGAGAAGTGGAAGAAGAGAAGTAGGAAAAGAGTAATAAGAGAGTGAAGTGAAGAGTGAAAAGAGAGAAGAGAGAAGTGTAATATTCAACGGGGAAGCAACTTTCAACAATAAATAGAATTGTTGTGAAGTGAAGAAGAAAAAAAAGAAAAAGGGAAAGAAGAAAAAAGGAAAGAAGCTCTCTCTCACCTCTCTATCCATTATCATGTTCCAACCACAACCCACACCATTTTCACCCTTCTCTACATATGGATTAAATATATCTCCACAACCACAACCTCCTCCAACACTTCTGGATTTCAACAATTTCCACAATCACAATCACACCACTCACCCTCACCCTCACAATCAAAATCAAAATCAACATCTTAACAACCACAACCACGACCACAATTCAATTTCAAATACTCAATCACTTCATCAACACCAACACCAACACCAACATCAACATCAACATCCTCAATCCCACTCTCAATCGCACTCTCACTCCAATTCTCATACTCACCCTCACCCTCACCCTCACCCACACCCTCATCCTCATCCTCATCCTCATCCTCATCCTCTTAACCATACACATACACATACACATACACACTCGCATTCGCAATCTCACGCGCAACAACAACAACAGCGCTCAAATTCTTTATCTCATTCCTCTCCTTCGGCATGTACACCACCAACCACTACAGCTATCGTGGATAATCTAAACTCAATTGTGGTTGCAACTCAACCTGGACAAGGTACGACGACGGGACGCGGACTAGGAAATACCCTGCAACAATTCCAACAACGACATCCACAACAACCAATTTTCAATCCCATCAATAGTAGCTCTGCGAATACGAACCCAAATCTGACGGGCACTATCAATCTACCCCACAACACCAATACCAATTCTTCTTTACCACCATTATTCGCACATCATATTCAACAACAATACAAAATGGAGGACAATGGTGTCAGTGGAGTTAATGATTTGGAAGCACAGGAAGCTTTAGCCAGGGAATTTCAACCAGCATTGGAGGTATGATTCTTTTCCATGTCATCATTACAGGAGCTTCAAACTAGCTATGAATTGGTGAGATTTGTTGAGTACAGAGCTTGAGCTGACAGTATAGTAGGGTCCATTAGTGGGGGAAAAGAAGAGCAGTTTGGTGATAGCTGAAGAATATGCAAAAGCTGACCCAATATATGTTTCAAAAACTTCTGTAAGTAATCTATACCAGATATCCTCTACAATACTCATGACTAACAATTGGTGACAGGCGTTACCTCAGAAATATTCTCATTATCGACCGATTCTCGGCGATGGAAATTGTGGATGGCGGGGGTAAGTCTTCTGAGCTTGGTGCTTGTTGATACCCGTGCACAAATATCATGATATTCGCCGTCAACAGTTATTGTTATGGGTAAAGCTGATTTATTTGGTGTTTAGCGGCGGGATTCTCTTACTTTGAGACTTTACTGAGGATAGGAAATAGAGGTCAGGTAGAGGAAGAACTAGCGAGGATATTATCGCTGAACAGTCTACTCACAACGGCTGGAGGATTCGACGCCTGGATCTTTGAGGATATGGTGGAAGAAACTACCACCTTATTGAGAGATATGGCAGATTTAATGGATACTTCTATTCAAGCTGCCGAATCCTTGATCTTGGATCGATTCAATAACTCGGAAATCTCGAACGCTATCGTATACCATTTTCGATTATTGGCTAGCTCATGGCTTAAAGCTAATCCTCAAAATTACCAAGGATTTATACCAGACGGCGGTGGTGTCGATCAATATAGAAAAGAATGGTTGGAGCCACCTAATCAAGAGATAGATCATCTTGGTATGACTTTACTTATCGACGTTTTACTGAAACCTACTCGATTCTCCGTTGAGATTGTCTATCTCGATCGCAGTGAAGGAACACAAGTCAACAGTCACATGTTTCAAGCCGAAGATTCAAATGGCCAGCCTACCAACCCAGGAGGTCCAATTATATACCTTCTCTATCGACCTGGTCATTATGATATCTTGTATAAGGATCTTGTACGGCAAAGTATTGACATGAGCACAAATATTCAAGTCAATCGAGCCACGAATTTTACTCATCAGCACTCAACCGAAGCACATCCTCCTATGAATCCTTATCAAACTATGGATCTTCTTCTTAGTATTCCGGGTGTCAGTTTCGCATCACCATATTCAAACTTTGGTACGCAATATCAATCACCGATGTCTCAAGCATTTGCACCTGCGCCATCTACTGCCTTATCACCTATGTCCCCAACAGGAAATTCAGTCTCAACACCACAATCCGCAACATCAGTCACAAGTCTTCCCAATCGTTCAACATTTACTTCGATCAATACTCCTACCCCAATTATCACCTCTCCACATCCATTCAAAAATACGCCAATCTCCCTTCCTATTCATACCTTACCTCCGCCTACTCCTCATACTATCCCATCTCCTATTTCACTAGGTATACCTGCAGCAAGTTTTCGCCCAAGCAAGTATGAATGGGCGATATCAGCCGATTTACAAGAGGGACCCGTGCCCAGTTTTCAAACTAGCACATTTAAAAATAGTCATTACAATACAGCGCATTATAATAATCCGAACTTTCAACCAGAGGAATGGACGCCTGAGGAAGACGGATTAGGTGTGGGTAGTAAAGGCGCAGGAGGAGGGTATGGTGGATGGGCAAGAAAGAAGAGTAGTTGATGAATGAGGTTAGGCATGGTTCGTGAAATGGGGGTTTGGGGGAGGGAAAAAATTATGATATTAATGATGCAGGTACTGGGAGTAATTTTTAGTGTTCATATGTTTGAAGGGAGTTTTGAGGAACTTGATTTGGGGAATTTTGCGAAATGTGCAAATTTATATCATATCAAATCATAACATGATGATTATTCTTTTGTTGATTTTGGAATCAAATGAAATGGGACTTTTTGATTGTTTTGTGGGTGTTCTTTGAGAGTGTTTTATTGGGATGATTGTTTTGTGTGGTTTGATATGTGCTAAAGATATTGTTTAAGGCGAGAGGTGGTTGGATGAAATGATATGAAGTGAGGTGACATGAGGTGAGGTGATATAAGATGGGTTGAGATCAGATGAGATGTGGCGAGTGATGAGTAGGTATGAATACCCAAACTGAGGAGATTTAGCGAAGAAAGAAGGGGGGAAAGGGGGAAAGGGGGAGAAGGAGAGGAGGAGAAGGTTGCTCGATTTAGGGATTAGCATTTAAACCTTAGTGAATGAGGTTAGTTTTGGTAAAAACTGATCTCGGGAATGAAGTGATTGATTTGATTGTTTTATGTAGGTATGTGTAGGTATGTGTATATAGATAGATATATAAATATATTGAGGTCATTTGGAATTCTGGGTATTTTAGGTGTTTAGTTTATTACTGTAGTTTAGATTTTAGATTTTAGATTTTAGATGGATGGGGAGGAGGGATGAGGGAGGAGGGGGGAGGGAGTAGTTAATAATCAGTAGTTAATAGTAAGTTAATAGGAAGTAATGAGTTGTTAATAGGTAGTTAATAGGGAGTAATAAGTAGTGAGTAATTAGTCATAAGTAGTTAGTAATGAGTAGTTAGTATAGTTAATAGTAGTGAGTTATTAGTAGTGAGTGGTGAGTGGTGAGTGGTGAGTAGTAAGTAATGAAGTGCTAGTATTGAGTATTGAGTGTATATAAGGAATTATTAGAGATTGGTAAATAAGACAAAAGAGGAGGTATGTAGGGTAGGGCAGGGGGCGTGGAGAGAATAAAGCATAGAGTTTTGTTTGAGGGATGGTGGATGGATGTTTGGATAGTTGGATGGGGAATTATCGGGGGTGAGCTGTGAGGGAGGGGAGGAGGGTGGAGGTGGAGGAAAAGGGAAGGGAAGGGAAGAAGTAAGGTTGATGAGTGGATTGCTAGGTAGGTGGAGGGATAAGTGGACGGATAAGTGGATAAGTGGATGGATGGATGGATAGATGGATGGGACATAATCGGATTTAGATGGGGAGTATTTCATGCGTGGTATTAGGTAATGTGATTGATGTTCTTCGTATTGTTAATATGAATTAGCGTGATTTGGATTGGGAGGTTGGGGTTGGGGTTGGGTTAGGGAAAGTATTGAGAGGGGTTCTTGTGTTCTTGTTTGGGGAGGGGATAGAGGAGACTTGCGAGGCAACAGGGAGTTATGTGCAACTGGCAGTGGGTTAATCCTCTAGGCTTCGGCTTCCTCGATGAATTCATTGGTGATTGGATGGCCTACTTGGCTTATCTAATAATGAGATGATGGGTTTTCGGTGTTGTGATGTTTGATAGGTTGTATCGTATATCGTATATCGTATTTCGTATTTCGTATTTCGATCTCTTAGTTTAGGGAGGGGGAGGGGGAGGAGGTGAGGAGGTGAGGTGAGGGAATAAACTAGAATAGAATGTACAGGTAGAGGTAGCCTCTAGATTCATGTAGTCCTATGAATTGGTTGATTGGGTGATTGGCGGGATCTCGGGAGTTGGAGGGTAGGACCCGTAGGGCAGTGGATGAAGAATGAGTAGATAGGGAAGACAGGGGATAAGATGGGATTGATTAATGCATTGATGTATCTAGCGGAAGGTAAAAATAGGTTCCCCGACGGGTAAGATCGAGATTTTGAGTGAGATCTGGAGGGGAGGGGGGGAAAGGGGGTAGGGGTAGGGGATAGAGGGTGTATGTGATATTATGGAAGGGGGGGGGGGAGAGATTGGAAATCTGGGTTGGAGAATTTGAGATTTTGGGGATGGAAAATTGTATACAGCAAAACCTCTCTATAAGGATATCGATTTTTGTAATCGTTTTAAGGATCTGTAGAGATATTCTTATAGAGAGGTATCCGACTAAGCTCGACCTAATAGTAATTTGATTTCAATTAGTTTTAACTGGGTTATATTTTATAACATTTTTTATTTTTATAAAATAGATCAAAATTTCTATAAATTTGTTATATAATAATAAAATTCTAGCGATATAATTAGTTTAATAAGAATATATGTGATTTTAGAACTTTAGTATATAAGGATATTCTTATGAAGGGGTTTTAAGAATGTAGATTATTTTTAGATTTAAAAATCTTTAGATTAAAAAATATTAAGCATAACGTGATTTATCAGTGTGCGGGTCATTTTCACCTCAATTCACTCTTTCAAACTCATATTATTCAACAACCATTGAATCAATTGATTAAAACTATGAAAATTATAATAATCTAGGATCTATTATATTATCTTGACAAGTTCTTGCATTATGTCCGGTCTTTCCGCATTTACTACAGCATCGACTAGAAGATGCTTCTTCATTAGAATTCCTCCCTTTTTGACGCTCGTCGCGTTGAATCTGAATATCAACCTCTTGTTGAGATAATATATCAAGAGCTTCTTGCCCAGTAAGTACTCCTCCTTGACGTAATTGGGTTTTTTTCGCGCGTCGACGCTTGCTTAATGCCTCATTTGCCTTTCGAAGTGTACGAATCTCTGCATTCAAAAGTGTATTCTCATGAGCTAATCTCTCTGTACCTTTAGCTAGAGCTAGTACAGTCTCAAATATAGGTGTAGGGGAGCTTGATTGATGTCGGGTTATTCGAGATTTCACTAAAATTGATTGAGAAAGAGCTTCAGTTGGGTTGTGAGGGGTTTGAGAGATCCATTGATCTAGATCGAAAGAGGGAGGGGTAGGTGTACGAATTCGAATATCTAACTTCGAAAGTACGGCTTCAGGGTTAAATGGTATTAAACCTGTTCCTCGAAATCCTGATTTCATATTCTGAGAGATGATTGATTCTTTATATGCAGCTTTAAAAGCTATAAAGAATTCAACCTTCGAAATATGATTGATATGTGCCTTGATAAATCCATCAATTTGACCACCATATGAACGTTTCAGATTGCTAAAACAGCCCACATCAAGTGGTTGAGTTAAATGACTTGAATGCGGTGGTAGACTTAAGCATATAATATCGTTCTCTTTGCAATATGCTTGAAAAGCTCTTGATTCATGGCTTTCATGCCCGTCTAGTACCAACATTCGATACCTGCCCTTTCTTCGGTTCTTAGTGTGCTTGTCGAAGTGTTTCAACCATTCTAAACCTGTCTCATTGTTTGTCCATCCATTAGATGTAGGTTTAATAGCCCAATCCGCAGGAAAATCGGTTTCGGTATACCAATTGGAAAGATGAACCTGTCCTTGAACCACTAGAAATGGGGGTATAGTTTCACCCTCCCCATTGCCACATATGATTGCTGTAGCCCATTCTCTATTGCCTGGTTGTATTGCCTTGCTTCTGCCATTCCGTTCAGCACTAGTTACTACCATTCCGGGGCATATTATACCCATCATAAAGCCCGTCTCATCGAAATTGTAGAAATCGCCATCCAAAATGCTGTATTTCGCTCGCATATTCGCAACCAATCGAAACCACTCTTCAATAAGCTTAGGATCTTCGCAGAGAGCTCTTTGAAAGTCATAAACACGACTAAAACGCGTCTATAATTCGATTCGACGCTTTACGAATCGATGCGCCCAGAGCTTCCCAACGCGCTTTGCACCCCTCGATTCAAGAATATGATTCGCCATATCTTCTACATTTCTTAATTTAGGTGGAAATCCTCTCAAATCCATATCAATTATATATTCAGAAATGATATTCTCTTCTAGTTCTGAAAGATTATAAGATTTAGGTCGATATTCGGAACGGGAAGTAATACCATTAATTCTACGCTGTAGTGTTGTATTCGAGATATTATATATCTTTGCAACCTTTCGAATACTTGTTTTTTTGTCTTTTTGAATAGCTTCGATAGCGAGGAGTATACGGGCTTCTTGATTATTCGAATCCATTGTGGATTGTTGATAAAAACGCGTATTGAAAGAGAATAGAGTGAATTGAGGTGAAAATGACCCGCACACTGATATGACCCGCACACTGATAAATCACGTTAATAGAGGTTATCCTTATAAGGGGGGGTCCTTATTGAGGTTTACTATAGGTGTATGTATGTATGTATATATAAATGTAAACGAATAACTCGAATGTAATAGAGGGTGAGATAGAGGGCGAGAGCGAGGAAAAGAAAATGAGATTGTCTATTCTATATTATCAATTATAAAATTTCTTGAAGAAAAGAATTGATGAACCATGATAGAAACCATGAAAAGAGATTGAATAAATTTGATCAGAAAGGTGTGCATGTGGGATAGATGGTGGATATTGATAGGTAATGATAATCGGGGCCCATGTAATTACTACTCTACTTGAGGATTTTTGATTGGATTTTTTTAGTCTTTTGAATCTAGATTCTAGGAGTTTGCGATGATGAGATTTGAAGCCGAGATGTTTCGGGGATGTAGTGTGATGTGAGGTGAGGTGTACTTACTGGATTGAATGTAAGGGGCACTTAATTAATAGATGTATATATATAGGGTAAAAATGAGTATGCTTCGAGTCGATCTAAGGTTTTCTTGTAATGATTATTGAACATCTAAATGATAGGTTATTGAGTTGAAGAGAGAGAGCTAATTTTCTAAGAATTGTTTATTGTTAGGATTTTAGTAATATATTTGTTGGTTTATTATATATGTATATGAATTAACGTAGTTCATTAGTGTCTAGACTATATTATTATACAGTCTACTTCAAACATATACTAAAATCAAGACTTTTTAATAATTAGATTTTAAAAACTAATAATTAATTTAA